AAGGAACCAGAGAAGGGTCACATGCCCCTCCTCCCTGCTCCTGCCTGCTAGGTGGATTCGCTCCTAGTCAGATCAGAGGACGACTTCTGTTGTCTACTCCATTCTGTAGTTGTCAGTGTATTGCCTCAATTTATATCTTAATAAATTCTGTTACACATTTAATAGATTTATGTGGATTGATCATAATAAGTGTCACTCAACATGGGGCACGAACCCACAAAACATAAAGGAAAAGAGAAAAGTGGGAAACAGGAAAATATCCAAATGTACATTTATTGCAGTCCTAGCCTATGATAGTAAACAAAAATGTTAGGAGCACCCTAGCTGGTGCAACACTTAAGAAAGAATGCAATAACAGTTGCTTCTTCATAGGAGCCTATGACTTCTCTTGTCACAGACTTTGTTCAAGTTCCCCATATCAGATGGGAATTTTCCCTTGTAGAGTGGACTGCAGATCCAATCAGAAAGTTGGTTCTATCAGAACAACTAATGCCACTATTGCACGAGCTGGCAGATCTTTCCATGCACTTCCATTATGAGACATGCAAGATCCACAGCTGAACAGGAATTTTACTTAACTCTCCTGGGCAGTCTTAGTAGCAACTTATGATACAAATGAGATAGTTCACAGGGTAGGGACACTTCCAGCTGAGTCCTACCTTTATTTCTCCAAGTCCTGCATGATTTCTTCAGCAATAGGATCTTATCAAGTTCTGGAATATGCCCAACAGCAGAGGCAATAGCCTTTATTGTTTTAGGGGTCTCTATGGCCTCTGTGATCAGAACCCCTGGCTCAAATCAGTAGCCAAGGCATGCACATAATGTACTTCCTTATGAGCCAACCTGGAGTCTGCCTGAGGACCTAGCAACAGGCATTGTCAGAGTTCCTGATCACTGTCAGAGTTCCTGATCATGTGGAGTCTGCCTGAGTGCCTAGTAACAGGCACTGTCAGAGTTCCTGATCATGCCCAGCCAATGAGGGCTAACCACGAAATGTCACCAGATTGGAACACAGCTTTGATGTAGATGTAATTCTAAACAGTCTTATTAAATAAGAAACATGGAGCCAAATAAAGAGTTAAAAGCCCAGAGATAGAGCAGTAGCCAAGAGCTAAGACCACCTTATCTTACCACTCACTGCCATCCTTCTCCTGAGAGAGAGACCTTCTTCCTGTGTCCTGCCATTTTATTGCCTTTCTGTTCTGCCTTTTCATTGGCTGTAAACCCAACCACATGACTTCCTCGTTACTGCCTGCCTATACAGACCTCCAGGTCTCTATGTTTGGTACTGATATTAAAGGTGTGTGTCACCATGCTGGCTATATCCTTGAACACACAGAGATTTTGCCTGTCATGTGATCAGATCAAGGGCATGTGCTACCACTACCAGACTTCTACTTAATGGCCTGCTCTTAGCTCTGATCCCCAGGCAACTTTATTTATTAACTTACAAATAAAATCACATTTCAGCACAAATAAAATATCACCATAGCTTTGGTGTTGGGAGGAGGGTATATAAGGATTTCCCCACTATTGATTAAATGAGTCTGTTGTTTGCCTTCAACTGACTCCTGATGTCTGTGTTGTTGATGCCGCGCCTTCTCACCCCTTCCCCCAAGGGAGCTGTTAGGATCCAGCAACATTCCTCTTCCTCTTTTTCTTTCTCTTATTCTTCCTCCTTCTTCTCTTCCTCTTCCTCCCACTGCAGATGTCGCATACCATCACATTTCCAAGCTGGAATGTTTCAAGAGCCCTCCTAGACTCTACCTCCTCGCTCATCTGCACTGCCACCTTAATGGTAGATTTACAAGACACTCAAAATGCACACATCTCCTTCTCATGAAAGGGTAACATGCTTAAATAAAACATTCAGAGAAAAACAACTACAACAACCAAAACACTCAGATTCACAGCTTGATAAATAATTTCTAAATGAATTGTAAAGATCCATTTCTATGACTACCTTATTTTTCCATAACCCAACAACAAAAACACTAGCAGACAGGCTCTCACAAATCTTATGAGATTAAACCTCATATTCACAGATATTGGAAAAATTCATTCAGCTACCCTGATGAAAATATGAATCCCTCCAAACTCCCTTCTGAGTGTCAGATCTTAAGGCAGAATCTGTTGCTGAGATAAAACCCACTATAGAATAATATATTAAATTAAATCATACATTAAATTCCATACACCATTTCACATAATACCCAAATTCTTCATGTTAAAATGGCAAATGGTAAAAAATGGCAGCTAGCAACCTATGCGCAGTTAACACCATGATACCACAGCTTCCAATCACTCCTAACCACCACACCCTCCTGTCCATGCCAGGAAGCCATGGACAGCAGTGTGCCAGTGTGGCCATCACATGCCCTTTCAGTGTCCATGTGAATTCCCATAGTCAAAGAGTTTTGTCTCCATTTGAACCAAATCTGAGCTGGCATTTCCCAGGACCATATTCAAACCCCTGCTTAGTCACATAGATTCTCATGTCTGAACTGGTAGATGTGATCTTTTATTATTTTATTTTTGGATATCAATACTCTCAAAACATGTGGGTGACTCTCTTCACCGTATACCAAGCACACTAAACTCACACGAGGATAGCCTCCTCCACCTTTCAAGACAATTAGCATCAAAAGAGTACAACCTTTCTGGAGATAAACTCTAACTTGCCAAGTTTCACTTAAATACTCAGAAAGCCATTAACCTCCAACAAAAGAGGTAAAGGGGGTTGATTCTATAGAACTGTCCTGAGCAAAAAGGAGTGTGTGCTTGGCAAAGTCGGGGCTTGCCTTAGAAAGGTATGCCACCCACAAACTCCTCTCTTCCTGATATGCCACATTCTCACCTTCTCTAAGTGTGTTTCAGAAATACCCACGTGTGCCTCACGCCCCCCAATACAAGAAGGCCTATATTGACAAATAGGGCATGCTCATGGTAACAGAATCTCTTCATCCCACAGGAAAAGATGCAGCATCGTTGAGCATCGTGGTACACTCCTACACTTCCAGCATTAGATTCCCTGGCTGACAATTTTGTTATTGGCATGGCTGGCTTCAAACTCCTGTGGAACTAAAGATAACCTTGAACTCCTTCCTAATCCTCCTGCCTCTGCCTCCCAAGTGCTGGGATTACAGGTAATGTGTCACACCAAATATTACTTTATTAATAAAATTTTAAAATAAATCTACCAGGTGTGGTGGTACACATCTATAAACCCAGTACTTAAGGGGCAAAGACCCACGGATCACAACAATTTCGGGAGCAGCCTAGTCTGAATAGGGAGTTCCAGACCAGCCTGGGCCTGTCTCCAAACCTGATAGATCATTGGTTCTCAGTCTGTGGGTTGTGACCCACAGAGGGCATCAAATGATCCTTGCACAGGGATCGCATATCAGATATCCTGCAGATCAGATATTTACATTCCGATTCATAACAGTAGCAAAATTACAGGCATGAAGTAGCAATGAAAATAATCTTATGGTTGGGGGTCACCACTGCATGGGAAACTGCATTAAAGGGTCACATCGTTAGGAAGATTGAGAACCACTGAGATAAATGAAGAGATAAATGACAGACAGACGACAGACAGATGATGATGTTTTGAAATTTTTTAAAGTAACATAGACATTTGCACTAAGCCAAAAGAGAGGGACTCCCAGGATTGAGAGGGGGCATCCAAGGACATTGTAATTTTTCCTGTGTAGAAAGAAAGATCTATCCATGACTCATGGATGGAGGAGAGGATGGTACCGGATAAGTTAGGGAGACTCATTTTGGAGAATCCCCATTCTGTTTTCCTCCTAGATTCAGCACATAGCTGCTCAGATCCCATTCTTGTTTATAATTTTAAGTTCAGTGCGCTATGTAAGGAGTCTTCAAGTTCATTATCCGGGTATTTCCCGAGACTTCGTCTTCCTGCTGACCCCAACCTCCATGTCCTTCTACAGGCAAATGGAAAAGGTTCAGCACAAAGGTTCTTTCGTTGAAAGGATGCGTCTGTAACCTTTCCAGATACTGAACATGCTCCTTCTGTGTTTTTTCAAGGGAACAAAAACCCTGTCTTTGGAGGGGGGGGGGCATGGATTGTGGTGGGATTGTGTTCCCTGAAATATTGTGCATGCTAATAAACTTATCTGGGGTCAAAGAACTGAACAGCCACAATATTAAACATAGAGGAGAGGCAGTGGTAGCACACACCTTTAATCCTAGCATTCCAGAGGCAGAGATCTACCTGGATCTCTGTGTGCTCAAGGATACAGCCAAGCATTGTGACTCACACCTTTAATCCCAGAAAGTGAGCCTTTAATTCCAGGGAGTGATGGCAGAAAGCAGAAAGGTATTTAAGGCGTGAAGACCAGAAACTAGAAGCTTTTGGCTGGTTAAGCTTTTAGGCTTTGAGCAGCACAGTTCAGCTGAGAGGCATCCAGTCTGAGGAAACAGGATCACCTGAGGAACTGGAGAGGTGAGGAGGCTGTGGCTTGTTCTGCTTCTCTGATCTTCCAGCATTCACCCCAATAACTGGCTTTGGGTTTGATTTTATTAATAAGACATTTTAAGATTCATGCTACAATGGATTTTCAATTTCATTACAGTTTTCATACAGGGCTAAGGACAGAGCAGAATGTTAGTTCAGTTTCTTTAATAGCAGTCTGGTTCCCTCTAGTGGTCAGTCTTCAAATTTTAGTAGACTTTACACATTCCCTTTTAAAAACACAAAACAGTCATTTATTTCACATAGAAAAGCTTAGGCTCTAAGCCTTAGAGAAAAATGATTGGAGATTTTTTTTTTTTGCAAAAGATATTTTAGCAAACATTACATTAAATTTTTAATTACTGACTTTTGTACATAGAGCTAGATTTACCAAATAAAAACATAGGACTCGCAGGAAATTTTAAACTTCAGATACAAAAAAAATGGGGGGGGGGTCATAAAAATATCTCAGATACACCAATCTGACACTAATCTTTATATATTTTAGGGTGTTTAGATCTTTTTGAGGAAATGAAGATCCCAAAGGCCAAAACCCAACTCTAAAACACTGTTCCTATCACCATAGTCTGCTGTTGTCTGTACAAGCCAAAGATTCCTGAAAATTAACAGAAGAAGTCAGACCAGAGGCCCCTCAGATGTCACTCAGGTTTGGGCTCCAGGGATGCCGAGGAATGTGTCTTCACATAACCCGGTCAAACGATCTAACATGTGCTCATCCATTTACCAGAGGCAGCGGTCCATCCCTCACTGAACCCTCCCCTCTCTTCTTCAGCCTGCATCCTTTCTCCCAGGACACACAGCCACTGAAAGGGTAGCAAAACTTCAGGTCTCACAGTTAGAGCCCAGGTTCCCAACCCTGATACCCCAAAAGAATCACGCCGAGTGGGGCTGAGTGTGCTGCACAGTTGGCAGACTGTTTGCCTAGCCTTTGTGAAACTCTGGGTCCAATTCCTGGCACTACAGAAAACTAGAACTTGAAGAGCTCACGTTTAAGGTCATCCCCAGCTGCCATACCAAATTTTAGGCCAGCCTGAGCTACAAGAGACCATGCCTAGTATCATACCAGGTATTCCCAATGTTGGCTGCTGCTTAGGATTATGGGAAGGAGGGTGGGACTATCACACATATCCTGATGTGATCACACTCTCCACAGACCAATCAAAGCAATGTCGCTAAAGCTTTCCAAACAGTTCCAAAATTGAGAACAACTGTTCCAGGATGGAGACTGACAAGTGTGCTCTGAGAAGTGACATAAGGTAAACGTTTAGTCTTTGTGGGCCCGACAGTTTTCTGTCACAAGTACAGATCCAGTTAAGTCCTAACGTAGACAATGCATGAATGAACACCAAAACTCAAACTCTGCAGAGTTTTCAGCTCATTTTATATTACTATTCCTTTTACCTTTCCCAGTTTCTTGCTTCCTTTCCTCCCTTCCCTCTTCCTCACCCTTTTCTTCCTTCTGTTTATTTATCCCCCCCCCTTGAATATTAGAGAGACCCCAGCCCTCACCATGTAACCCAGGCTGACTTTTAACTTGTGATCCTCTCGAGTACTGGGATTACAACCGTGCTCTGCTGACCTTGGTTCTTTTTAGTCACTTTAAAATGTAAAATGCATCCTTAGCTCAGGAGCAGGGGTTGGTATTCTGAGGCCTTGCAGGTCAAGCCTATCTGCAGCCTGTTTTTGAAAATAAGGCTGCTGACCTTCCCTTTTCTTGGTTTTCCTCTTACAGAATATTCCCACTACTTCTTCACATAAGATGAATTCATACAGCAGATATACGATTAACTCGAGCAATGTTCCATCATCCGTGGCAATCCGGGGCTCTCCCTTCAGTAACTGCTTGATTGTCTTTAGAAGCTCATTTGAAAAACTAAGGATATCATCACACTGTACCCATGAACGTGCATAAAGCCAACGCATTACTTTAATAAAACCATTCTTTAGCCAGATGCCCTGTTAAAGGTTCCCCTCTCACACAAATACACGTTATCAGTAGTAACTAAAGAGGAAGCCACGAACCCATTGTAACAGCGTATTAAGAATACACTTGAATTCTTTTTCCAACATAACATTTTTATTATTCGGGAGTTTCACATAATGCACCCCAACCACACCCGGTCCTCCCAGGTCTATCCCCTGACTCTTATGACCTCCCCCAAGGGGGAAAAAACAGAAAAAAAAAAAACCCAAGAACAATTTGTGTTGGCCGGATGCTCACTGGAGCATGGTCAAACTCTCAGTGGCCAGCCCCCTAAATAAAACCGAGTCCGTCCCCACCCCACCCCCACCAGAAGCCATCAACTGCGGGGGGGCTGCACTTCAGCATCCCTATCACAATTTTTAGGAGTTCTCTTCAATGCCTTTCTGTCTAGACTGTTACTTTTGGGGGTGGAGGGGAGAGGTCGTCACAGAAGCTGTCTCTCATTCCCAGTTGAGTCTGTCGTCATTGATACCACTGAAAAAGAAGCTTCCTCGTCCTGTATGGTCAGCAGCAGCATGGATCATGGACATCCAGATGGTTTCTGGCGGCAGTACAGACCACAGACGTCAGTCAACATGGATTTAGGTGGCAGCACAGACCACGGACAACCAACGGCCTTCGGTGGTAACACGGGCCATGGACATCCACACGAGCCCCCGCAGCAGGACCACGGACCTCAACATGACCCTCAATGGCAGCCCAGAACCTGTACCTCAACGTGGCCTCAGGTTTAATCCAGAGAAGGAACCATCCTCCATCCGGGACACCCCGTCGTTGCTCAGAGCCAGGGAGATATGCAGGTGGACTGTGTGTTCAGGGGTAGAGCCTGTATGAGCTCTGGGCTGCTACACATCCCACTGCCAGCCATACTCGTCAGTGACATGCTCTCCTGCCCACCGCAGCCTTCTCCACATCTCACCATCCCTCCCGTCTCTAGCTCCCACTCTATCCACCGCACACTCGCTGCTCTGTTCCTCCATCTTTCCCACTTTCTATTGCATATTTGTTCATGGAAGTGGCATTGCGAACCGCAGTGTATTTTTTTTTGTCCAAACAACTTTTGCAACAGGAGACCTCCAGTGCTTATCTGCAGTGGATACTCCAGCAGTATCCACCGATAAAAAATTTATAATATGTAAAACAAGGGAAAGAATGGAATGTGGAGAGGAATGAGGAGTCCCCAGTTCCCCCTTTTTTTACTCCAGCAAAATATGTTTGTTTGGCTCCTTTTCACATTTTTCTTTTCCTTTTTATATTTTTCATTTTTCACTTTTTTCAAATTAACCAATTTGTCCACCTTTCTATTATCAGCTTGATACAGTATGTATTCCCATCCTAATTGTGAAATGTTTCATTGAGGCTTGCTCAGTAATTGAGTAAAACCAAAACTTATTATACGCCACAGTCGTCCTAGGGTCCCCCATGCTATTTATGTGGTCTCCCTGGTTCTGTGGGTTGCAGTCTGATTGTCCTTTGCTTTATATCTAGAATCCACTTTTGAGTGAGTACATACCATGTTTGTCCTTCTGAGTCTGGGTCACCTCACTCAGGATGATTTTTTCTAGCTCCATCCATTTGCCTGCAAATTTCATTGTTTTTGTCCAAACAACTTTTATATGAAAATATTCATTGCAATTAGTTATCGGTCTGGTTCAAGGTTTCTGGTTTCTGAGGCACCATAAATACTGGACCGTAACTGGGACTTGTCTCAGGTATCCTGCTATTGACCAGAGTCAGTTTTAATTTTAAACAAATCCTTTAAAAATCAGCAGATAATGTGGAGCCATACAAAATATATGTGTATGTAGAAAAGGGATGTTTTTCCCCTACTCACATTGTTGAAATAGACAGCATCCCATACCTGCCTAGTCAGACACATACATAAAAAATTCTCTTAGATGTATATCTCAACATAAATTGATGGATGATAATGTATCTGCCTATTGAACACTAGTAGATACAAATAAATTGCGCTATACAGTAGTATTATCAATTTACATCCCTGCCAGTGTATTTAACCCTGGCACTCCAGAGGCTAAGGCAAGGGTATCCCAGTTCAAGGCCAGCCTGGATGACACAGGGAACGCCTCATTTTTCCTTACCCTACAACACTAAGTGGAACTGAACTTTAAATTTTCAGCCTAGGGCCATCAAGACAGCTCAGTGGGTAAAGGCTCTTACCACAGAAGTCTGGTGGCCTGAGCTCCAGAACCCACTTAAAGGTGGGAGCAGAGAGCTGATTCCACAAAGGTAATCCCGCCTCCAGATTCTCACTATGTAACCCTGGTTGGACTGAAACCCATTAAGTAGACCAGGATGACCTTGAACAAATAGACATCTGCCAGCCTGTACCTCCCAAGTGCCACCATGCTAGGCACAAAGTTGTCCTCTGACCTCTATGTATATGTTGGCACATGCAACCCCAGGAGAGTGTGGAGTGCGTGCGTGCGTGCGTGTGTGTGTGTGTGTGTGTGTGTGTGTGTGTGTGTGAGTTTTCTTTTAAAGTGTTCCTCTGATATGTGAATGTATGTCCCTACAATAAACCCTACTTGGTAATATCTAGGCTGATTTCAAATAGGCTTTCCTATCATTTTCTTTATCATATTGGACTGCACAATTTTAATATAAATGCATTATTAATCTCATAAGGTCAGAAAAGCTTTTATTCTCTGTAACTTTTTTTCTAGAAATCTGTCTTAGATTTTTTTGAGGCAAGAGATATATTATATATGTGTGTGTATATATTTAATATGTATATATTAAAACTGTGATCCTCCTGCCTCAGCCTCCAGAGTACTATTAAAGGCATATACCATCACACCCAGATTCCTAACTTGAAATTCAAAAACACTTGTCTAAAAATTCAGAATTGTAGTTGGTGGTTGTTTGAGCTGTTCCCTGAAGCATCACCCTTAGTGAGCTAGCAGGTAACCTGCCTATTACCTTGAGGTACATGCCCCTGGGGCGTGGCTGCTGGGGGACCCTTAACACCTGGGATGCACATACAAATCTCTCTTCAATACCTCGTGGTTTCGGATGCTGGGATGGACAAGGGCAGAGCGTGACAGAAAACATCATTGGAATGTGCCTTGCCCTTCTAAGATCCTGCAACAAATTCCTTTATTCTGTCTTGTGAGTTAACCCCCAAATAAGTTCCTTGGCTCATTTAAATAGACTCCGTGGATTGCTACCAATATAATTCCAGTACAGAATGAGCATAATGTTATTATTTTATAATTAATTTTCATAAATGTCTATTACTGTTCAGATTTTCTCTTCCCCCTTTGAGTCTAATTGGAAATTTTCTACATAATTGCTAACTTGCCTATGTCTTGACCTTGATTGGCACAAAGTTCCTACTGTATGAGACTCCCTGGGAACAGAGTCTGCCCTGTGCTTAGCACACAGGGTTGGAAAGGATGCTCTTATGGTGAGAGTCCCCGAAGAAGGAACCAGAAGAAACCGATACTGGGCAGAGGCACAGAATGAGCTGATATGCTGGCCAAATGACAGTGCTGTCTCCAGAGGGGCTCAGGTGTGACACTGGGGTTGTCCTGAGTCCGCTACAGGCGGCATCCGCCACGGACATTGGTGAGGCAGCTCCTGTGGCTCAGGAAAGCCTGGAAGGCTCTGATCTGAAGCATGTGGCCAGCACTCTGGAGACTAGGAGTGTGATTCTCTCCATGAGGCAGATGAGTGGAGCCACCGTGCTCCCCACAGAAGGGATGCTCTTTCAGCTGTTCAATTCAGAGCCCAAGGCAAGAGCTCCTCTGAGATTTGGGGGGGGCCTTTCCCTGGGGTGGTCTAGAAGAAGGAGGTTCATGAGACAAGGCCACAGCAGCTGGCCTTGGAGCCTCAATCTGCCTCACCATGCCCCACCTCCACTGCCTGCTCTGGATTCTTCAACACCCTCATCTAGTACATATGTTAGCCTCCTCAGGCCAGGGTTAGCAGTCTACCTCCTTAGCTACTGTAGATTTGCTCTCTAAGTGACAGAAGCGTCCCATCCTGCAAGTGACCATGCCCATTTGTACTGCCACCAAGGTGACTCCACTTCCTGACACAAAGCGCCTCCACAGTCGGGAAGGCTTAGCTCCTAGACCATGCCGGTTAGGCCTGCCGATCCTAAGATTGTGGAAAACACTTGGCAAGACTTGGGGATGATGGAGACAGTGACTCCTAGCCACCAGGCCCGGGGTTTCGTCCTTGCGTGCATAGCTCTGGGTAGCTCGTCACACCCAGCCTACAAGTGTGACCTGGACGATGGCTGCTCATCCTTTTACAGTACCACGTACAGGGGCACTTCAGCTATGCTTTAACAATGCGTCCCAACACTCATCACCAGAGTTAGGGGACACAGTACCCGACCCTGCTGCCGGCCGAGGGAATATCTGGTTGCGTAAATTATTGATTTAGTCCAGCAAACTGGATGAGTTAGTTATATAGTGCTGTACAACAAGTTAGTCCCAGACTTACTGGGGTCAAGTGGCATTTGTAACTCCATAGTTTCTGTGGATCAGGAATCCAGCCTCGCTTCATGGAGCCCTGTAACTCGGGACCTGTCACAAAGCAAGGAGCCCGCCGCCGTGGTCTCCCAGCTGCAGGAAGATCTGTTCCGGTCAAGGCAGTGGGTGTTTTCCCAACTCTCTGCCTGCTGCCTGTGGATCCCACATGGTTTCCAGGTTGGCAGTCAGAAATGCAAATTCTTCCTGACTCTGGGGGACCTGGGGAACATTCCTCCTATTCGTTCCCTAAGTTCCCCCACCTCAGGCTCAGGAAGGAGTTGAGAGGAGCCTCTGCAGGCCCCGCCTCTGCAGGCCCCGCCTCTGCAGGCCCCGCCTCTGCAGGCCCCGCCTCTGCAGGCCCCGCCTCTGCAGGCCCCGCCTCTGCAGGCTCCAGCCTCTGCAGGCCCCGCCTCTGCAGGCCCCCGCCTCTCCATAGCTCTCTTGGCGCGCTGCGCTGTGGTGTCTGGCCGTGTTCTCATCACTAGACTCGATTCTGCTTCCCTAGCTTACTGGCTCTGTTGGCTTCCATGCACAGAGTCAGGAGCCATTCCAGACACCATGCTCAGGCCATGGCAGAGCCCATTCCACCAGCGTCCCTCCCATGGATCTCCAACTTGTGCCGATGTTTACAGTCAGTTTCCCATACTGTCCATCATGTCTACAGGCAGAATCTCGTGTCTTCTTTAGCCAACCTGTTGCCAGACTTCTCCAGCTACCTGCCTAGTGTGCCAGTTGTGATGTATCTCATGATCTTGACTTTCCAGCTGGAGACAAAGCAGCTCTTCCTGTGATTATTAGCAATATCGTTTCCTATTATATGTGTCTCACATCCTGTGATTATTAGCAATATCGTTTCCTATTGAATGTGTCTCACATCCTGTGAGTATTGGTAATATCATTTCCTATTGTATGTGTCTCCTATCTTTTTTTCTTCGATGAACTCTTTTGGTATGTGGGGCTTTTTTTCTTTAAATCTCAAACTTTTATTTTTATTTTATGAATATGAATGTTTCACCTACATGTATGTGGGCACCTAGGGTCCACAAAAGTCAGAAGAGGGCATCGGATCCCCTGGAACTGGAGTTCAGGCAGTTTGTAAGGCACTGTGTGGGTGCTAGGAATCAGATCTGAGTCTCTGAAAGAACAGCAAGTGCTCTTAACCACTGAGCCCTCCTCTCCAATACCTGACATGTGTGGTTTTCTACACTTCGGATGCTCTCATCAGGGAGGCTCCTCTTACTGTGCATGCTGCAAAACTAGTGCCCTGTTTGTGTGACAGATTTTACAACCAGAGAGTTTTAACTTTAACGTGGTCAAACTTAACTCTTCTTTCTGGTTTGACAAGGCTGGGAATGGACCCCAGGGCCTCGTGCATGCTGGGAAGCACTCCACCTCTGAGCTCCGGGCTCTATCATCTCTTTCACAGTTAGTCTGTTAAGTAAATATGCCCTGTTCCAAGACCACGAAGACATTCTTTTATAGGTTCTTCTGGTGTTTGCTTCTTCCGGTCAAGTCTTAGCACATCAGTCATTGATCTGGTATGGAGACTGGATCCCGCTGTGTGGCCCAGGCTGGCACTGAGTGCTGAGAACGTGCAATGCATTTGGGGTAGCTTTTTCATCTTTCTATGCATGAACAACCCACATCTCCCATGGCATTTCGGAGGCACATTTCCTTTCCTGGCTGACCTCACACCAGCCTCTGCAGCCCTGCTCACACAGAGGCTTGCCTTTCTTGTGAGTTTGGTTCCCGTAGCCTTCTAGGTCTGGGTCGGGAAAAATTCCCAACAGAGATGTTTTGGGGCCTGTCATGGCCCAGTCAATGCCCTTCTCTACCCAGAATTTATGCTCAGTTTCCCTGCCCACCCTCACCAAGGATGTGTCCC